TGTTTGCTATATTTTCAGAGTTGTGGGTTATTTGGTGTTGAAAATGATAAGCATCTTGTGTAGCTATGAATAGAAAAACTGAGAAATGCTTCTTATGATAACGCTAGTACAATCCCTGCTCTGCTGTTTCATATTTTAAGTGCTGAACTGAACCAAAATACTATCTTTGAGAATTACCCTAGACTCATCCCTCCATGATTTTTTCTGTTCCTGCTTCTGGGTCCTTAGTGAATTCTGGGCCAAAAGTAAAGCAGTGGCAGTGACAAAGGTAACTGTGGTAGCCACTTATGGACAACTTTTCAGATGCATACAGCCGTTCTTGTCTGTTGCCTGATACTCTTGCATTTTTCTCAGTGGATCACCATATTGTTGAACATCTTGATGGGTTTTGTCAGCCATGGAGGAGATGTGGACAAGATTAGCACCGGGGAAGTGTTGAAATGTAGCAAGTAATGAGCTATCTTCTCCAGCAAGCATTTATTTTTAGTGCTTAACTTTCAATTAATGTTTATATTTTCAGTTATATTTTATCATTCAGTATCTTGAGGTGGTTTGAGCAAAATATATGAATATATATAATTTACAAGAAATATAGGCTTGTATTGTGCCTTTGTAATTCTCTTCAGCTTCAGTATCTATAAGCTACGAGCGGACAAACCTTTGGGGTATTCTTTACTACATAGTAGCTGATGGCTTCATTAATACTGGCTATTTGAATCTTCTGGGTCTAATGTTTATGTTTTCCCAGGTGAAAACGCCATAGTGTTCTCCACCAGACATAAGCACAATGACATATCACTGCAGTGCATGCTGTCTCTTAGCTTCTCTCTACATGTGCTTGCATGTTGAAAATTTAGAAATGCTGCTGTATAAATTGCTACCTTGTTTACCCAATACAAGTGTTTTCCTGCATCCCTTGTTTGCTTGAAACTTATTAACACGAAAGTTATCTTTGGCTTGAAAGGGAGTTGTGGATGCACAAAGGATGCAGGGAGCAACTCCTCAGTAGTTTACAGGCTGCTGTGCATTAATGTCTTCTCAGCAAAGAAATGTAGCATTAGCAGTGACTTCCTAGTGAAAACACTGAGCGTGCTTATCACTTAAGACTTTAGGAAAAAGCGTCAGACTGTGTAATTGTATCTCATCTAACTTAGACACCTAACCAGTAACATTTGATGAGGCATGAGCCTCTCATTTAACTATTTTTGATCATGAAGTACCAAACAACGCAAAACTGAAAGGTGAACAGCCATGTTTTAGTATCACAGCTACACAAGAAATCACGAGTTTTCATGAGGTTCTGTTCTGATTTTGTTTCCTTATCTCTAAAGCATTTTCACTGTGGAAGTATCTTTCCATGCAGTTACTGAGGCTTCCTTTCACCAACCAGAACAGTCCGTAGCCTTCTACACTGTGAAAGGCAAGCTCTGTGGAGAAACATGGGCTTTCCGCTTGCCCAGCAAATTCGAAGAAATTTCATCCAAGCCATAAAAGCCTTTTATGTTATTGTGTTTGTGTAATCAAAGCAATTAGGGATAGGAACCTCGGTAATGAAGAGGTCTCTCTGTCCTCCGTTTTACTCTCTCTCTCTGTAATTTGTAGGGATTTAAGAGTTATTTTCTCAAGGCTCAGCTGTGTCTCTCTAAACCAGCACAGTCTACGCATCATGTGAGATTCAACTTAATGGGGATAGCATTTGAACATTTAAGATTTACTTTTCACATAGCAAGGAGTAATGTATGTCCCTAGGGACATGGACTCTTGCAAACAAGTCTGATACCAAGGATAAAAAATCAACATGGTACCAGTACATCAGACTCTGTACTACAGTGGGGTTTTTAGCTTTTGTCATTTGTATTTTATTTTGCAGGAGAGGAGTTGGGGAATCTCAGATCACATGGGGGATTTTAGAAGTATATCACTCAACAATCATTTTATAAAGTCTAACTTCAAAATGCACTATGATTTATTACAAAAATATATTTTCTTCTGTTTGCCGACATGGTTGTTCCACTTTGTGATAAGTTAAACTAAGCAGTTAATTTGTTGCACTGCCTAGCTGCATGAATTCATCCAGTGTACGTACGTACCTGTGCAGCATTACTTTGGGTTTTGTATTTGAATTTGCAGTATTGATTATTATTTTTGTATTTTACTTTGCCTCTGTTATTGGAATTGTAGTAAACATAATTTATACATATGATTTTACAACTGTTTTGCAACTGAAAAGTCTCCTTTAAATTGTAAAGTTTTATTGATGGATACTCATTAAAATGGTATAAGAATTATATTAACAATTGTTTTGTGTTTTGATGCTCTCTGTACATAAATATATGTCTATTTATCTGTTTAATGGTGCTTGTGTCTTGCAATTTTGGATACATTTTAGAATAAAGTTTCATTTTACAAGAAGTAGTTGTATTTTCAAAAGCTGTGTCAAAGAAACACCACTTTTCTCCAGAAGTAACTGGGGCTATGTGAGAAACATATGACTCTCCAAAACATGTATAACTTCAGGCACCGGTGTGTTTGTTTCAAGACAATGGAAGCACAAAACCTACAAAGACGCACAGCTGTATATTCCAGTCAGTTTACTGAGGTAACTGATGTCAGTATTTAAAACATTACCCAAAAGAGTCAGGAGGCATATCATAGCCCTGCTGATTCCATTGGTAAGAAGAGATCTGTGAACATGCTAATGATGTCACCATTACACATGAGGCTGTAGTTTTCCAAAGAACTCCGCAGCTTTCCGGTCTTGCATAAATCTGCTTAAACATTGACAGAATTTTGGTAGGCACCTAAAAAACAGTTCTAGATTATAGGCTTCTGTGAAATTTTGGTACTAAATCAGACTCCTTTGTCCTACAGCATTTCACAGAATAAGGTCTCACTTGGCTGAGGGTCATATCTAAAGCAGCTGCATTAGTTGAACTGTCTGCTACCGTACAACTGAGTAATATTTCTTGCTAGCTCTAATGGCTTTATTTTACAGAATATTTATTCACATGTAATATTGAGCTCATCTTTTATTAACAAAATGCCTTACCTCTCCTGGCACAGTTCTCTTACAGTGTCCTGTTCATCACAGCACCCGCTAAATGTACTACTGTGCCACACAAAGCCTTTAACATTGTGTTGCTTCCATTATAAATACTTGTTACTAGGATGGAATAATCTAATATCCATTGTTAGGCTTTTTTTCTTTCTTTCTATTTTTTTCCTTTTAAAACTATTTAAAACAATACTGCACCTGTTTCCTTGGTTGTTTTTACTGTTTCAGTTCAGGCCTCAAGCCATAAAGTGAGAATCATTTATAAAACCACATTAGCAAATAACTTCTGAAGGAAAGCCAATGTCTCAGGTGGTTGAGTAAGCCTTTGGAGTTGAGCTCCCTCTAGTTCACCATCAGTTCTCATTTCAGAAGACTACTTTCACTGAAGGCTAGCTCAGCAATCTATGGGTTTGGATGTAAGGCATCTTCCATCTGCCCATGACCATTTGTTCCCTTTGCCACAAATGGGCATCAGTAAAGAACTTCTTCACTGTGGGCTTGAGAGAGTTGTGGAACAGGCTGCCAAGAGAGGTTGAGGAGTCTCCTTCTCTGGAGATAGTCAAGACACGTCTGGCCAAATGGCTCTTGCTGTAGGGAACCTGCTTTAGCAGACCAGAACTCCCAGGTCCAGAGGTCCCATCCAAACCCTACAGTTCTTTGATTCTGTGAAAGAGAAATAGGCCCCTTTACACATGCCTCCCAGAGGCTGCCTTCACCTGCTAGGTAGTCCCGCCAGCTTCTAGCAGTGCTGGTATGGCTGCTGTGCTGCAAAAGTCAATTTTCTGCTGGGAAACTGAATGTCTGCCACAGATCTCTGTGAACTTGTGCTGGTAACTTCATTTCTGAATCCTTTCATCTGTGAAGGAGAATGACATTGATCTACCAGGTGCTTTCTGAGGCCAAATTCACTGACAACTGTGAAAAAGGTATTCTGATGTGCAAGAAGCTAAAGGAGTACCCGGGGCTGCAACGAAAGGATCTGCTGAAGCTGCAAGATGGACACGACAGACATTTGAGTTAGTTCAGCAGACGGCGAGAGGAGAGGTGCAGGAGGGCGGGGGAAAGTCCGCTTAGCAGATCTAAGGCTGGTCTAGGAAAAGGACGCTGCATCGAGGCTGTGAGGCCGTCACCTCACTCCCCGTGGCTGCCAAGTGGAGAAGGCAGCAGCAGCCATTTGTGGCACTCATTCGGCTGCTGGATGCCCACTGCTCCTGGTGGGCAGCTCCTACCTCCGACAGACCGCCGTCACAAGACACGTTCCTCAGAAATCACGTGTCACCTGCAGCTCCGAAGTGCCCTTCCCAAGTACTAGCTTCTCTTACCCCAACAGAAATGAGAGAAGTTGTCTTTTCTGTTTCTCTAAGACTGCTGCGCAGCTAGGGGAGGTCTGCTGACCACTCGCCCAAGCACGCACTCCACACTTCTACAGTTTTCGGTTTCCCCTTTACCTACCTGTGAACTAGCAGTCCTACCGCTCTCATCTCACAGCGGACAGCAGACAGGAGGACCGCGCACCTGCCCACAGCCCGCCCCGCCGACAGAGGGCGATTCTCTCTCAGACGCGGGCGCTGAGGCGGGACGGGTCCGCCCAGCCCAGCAGGGAACGGGGAGGCCGCAGCGGGCAGGCGTCGGCGGACACTGCCGCGGGTAGCGGCATGGAGCGGAGCGGGGCGGCGGGGGGATGGGTGCCCATGTGCCAACGCGTCCTGCCGGCCCACGCCAACCACCGCGGGGAGCTGAGCACCGGGCAGCTCCTCAAGTGGATGGACGCCACCGCCTGCCTGGCAGGTAGAGGGGCCGGGCAGCGCGGCGGGGCGAATGTCCGGAGCCCCTCACACGCACCGCGCCCGGCGGTGGTGGGCGGCTTTCTGCTCCCAGGGGCTGCGTGAGGCCCGTGGGTTTGCGCTTCGAGGGGCCTGCTGGGTCCGGGAGGGAGCTGCGAGGGTGAGGAGCGCAAAAAAAAAACAGGGCAGTGAAGGGAAAGTCAGGGATGGAGCAGTGAGAAGTACTGGAGGATGGAAAAGAGAACCCCGGGTAAAAAAAGCCACCCACTTCAGAGACTTTTATCGTCTCTCTCATGGCTTCTGGAGATGATTTGCCGACAGCCATCTACATTCGTGCACACGAAGCCTCGTGGAGAGCAGCATGATGTGGGAGCATGTGCTCTCATGGCATTGCTGTGCTGGGCTGAGTGCTGGCGTGCACTGTGCTGGAGCAGCTGTACGTACAGGCTGGGCCAGGCTTTGCACACTGGTGTAGCTGTAGATATCCCTGTTCCTTGTGGGGGAGGTGGACGAGGTGACCCTTAAAAGGCCCGTTCCACTCAAACGACTCTATGATTCTATAACCCTTCAGATGGAGAAAGCAGTGGGATGCAGGGGCAGCAGCCGGCACACTTCTCAGGGCCACTGCAAGTTTGCTGAGTGGTGTGATATTGCACGAAGGAATTGCTTTGTCTTCAGCCTTTTGGTTATTTCGCTCTTAAAAATGCTTTTTTTGAAAGGCTCCTCGCCACAGAAAGCCCCTAAGTCCTAGCTCTGCAGCAGAGTTGGTCCTTGCTCCCTGGGCTACAAGTTAATCTGCGATCTTAATCAGCTGCAGACTGACTGCAGAGCTTCCTTTCAGCCCACCTTAACTGTTTTTCTTTGGTTTGTCTTAAAACAGCAGCAGTCAGTCATGCCACTCATCCCTTCGCACACAGAGGGTTTGTAACACTTGAATCCTGTGTCACAGCATGCTAAACATGACAGATAGGATTTTTTTTGCTGTAGCATCTTTTCCCAATGCTAGTGCCAACTGCATTTGCCAGCACCAGTGTCACACCCGTGTTCTGTGTCCTACTGCTTCAGGCTTGACCCAGCTGGCCTCTTGCTCCACTTTTGAGTTTACAAGATATCGCTGTCATGTTCATTATCTTCTATTAAAACTCCAGCTTCATAGTCGATAGGGACCTCTTACCCTGGGTGGATCAATGTGTTCTTCATGAGTGCCTTCATGTGTTTCACAATCATGTTTTAAAAGGGAATTTCTCAGGTGCTATGATAACGCATGCACTATCTTCTGTCTTACCCCTCCAAGCTTATTCTTGCACAGATCACTAAAAATATTGTTAGGCTTCTTGTGAGTGAGACCCCCTACCTCTTGGCAGAGCACTACCATCAGCATTTTTAGCCTTTGTCAGTCAGGAAACTTTTTGGAGCTGGGGTTTCTGGTGTTTGCACAGCCCCCGAGGTGCTGGAGATTGAGCCTGTGACATTAAACTCTAGTGCTGTTGTCAAATAAGTGGTAAATCGCAATAACTTGCTTTTAAAAGAATAACTATTGAACTGTCGAATGTTAACAGTATAGACGTTGCCCTTTTTTATAGTTAACTTTCCTGATTAATGCTATTAATATAGATGTTATTTTTCGTAACTGTGTCTTAGAGAGATGGAGAGCATAGTACAGATTTTGCTAATAGTATTTTGCAATTGTTATACAAAGTAAATACTTACTTTAATGTTTGAATCTTGATTGCATTTTTTTTTATATATAGTTCCTGCATTTACTGCAACACTGAAGGCATGCACATACCTGCTTGCCACTGCTGCTACCATGCTATCAAGGCAGTAAATCATTTTCCTTTGTCTTGGAATTCTCACGTAACAAAGTTTTTATGCAGATTTAACATTGCCACGATTCAAAGCATCCTAGTTTTGAGGTGATTGCTGGGAGTGCTATAGACCTACTAATACTTTTGTCCTGGAACATGCTTGTTAGCTATCTTGTATCAGTGTCCATTTTTAGCAGAATACTTTAAACAGAACTTTCAAACTCAGGAGAATCATTATAATAGTCCAGACTCATCTCTTGATACTACCCTTATTTCATGGTAAGTATTTCTCTTATTTAGCTCCTTCTTTTTCAAAAGAGTTTACTGCATATTTGCCTTGGGATGATCAGAAGACAAACTGGGTGTGTTTCATCTCTGTCTCTGATGCACGTGTATGAGTATGTAGGTGAATGGCTTGCTGCTAGAGCAGTGTAGTAACTCTGTGTCCTGTGTCTCTTTTGAAGCTGAGAAACATGCTGGTGTGTCTTGTGTGACAGCATCTATGGATGACATACAGTTTGAAGAGGCTGCCAGGTACAGAAACGGCTAGCAATCATCGAATGTTTTCACTTTAGAATTTCTAATTTGGCAGAGATAAAATGAGGCATTGTAAAATCATGGTAAAATGGGCCAGTATACTCTCTAAAGTTAAAGGGTTCAGTCTCCAGAATGCTTTTTTCTGTCTGTGATAGCCTGACACTACTACAAACAAATCAATTTCTAAAGTCCAAAATAACCTGTACTTACTTGACCTGCAAACATCGATACCAGGTGAGAAACCAGTGGCCTAGTGATCTACTGCAGTTTATGTGAATGCTACACAATATTACTTATCTCACTAAATAAGGAAGACACACCTATGATTTTTTTCTATCATTTGTATCACAAATCCTTTTTCTCACCATCTTTCAATCAGCTCTTCCTAAAAAAATCTTCTAATAATCTTCTGATAGCAAAACAAATGTTCTGCATTTGTGATTATTTTCACGATTTTCCAAGGAAAAAAAAGATACTGTAGGAGGAAATGGCACATTTTTTTCCTGAACTTTATCTTGCTGTGAACTTACAGTCATTACTTGTCGTTAATGCTGTAATGAACCATTTATGTAAAAGCCATGGTTTGTTAACAATTAAATAGGCAAAACTATGTGTGGAAGTTAGTCATATTACAGAACATGAGCTGCTGCAGCAGCAAGACATAAACAAAAGAAGAAAAATGGTCTGTGAACTTCTCATTTGTGTATTTGCATCTTACAAACTAGAAATTAATGAGTACATAAGTGACGGCACAAATGGGGTAGAACTGCTTACCTGCCTATGTACATGCAGGGATGATCATGATAGTAAGCCAAGAAACACTGCCTGTCAGATGTACAGCTGATGTTAGTTGAAAACAGAACATGAGTATAAAATAAGCATCCACTCACACTGCTAAACAACAGGTTTTCAGACTAGTGGCTTCAAAGATGAGAACCTGAAGCAGTAGTATAGTGGGTGAATATGATCATGTTGAAATCACAGTTTGTTCTTTATCTGTTGTACAAGAAGCTTTAAAATGTTTGTCTTAATTGTATTTGTTTTGTGGTTTTAAACTTTTCCTTAGGAAAAAAATGTCTGTTCATGAAAACTGTAATCACAAGTGAATCCTGCAAGACTTGGTCCTGCAAGTGAAGTCAGGGCAATGTTTTTCTTTCTGCCACAGTATTTCAGACTTCAATAGCTTCAGATTTGTTTCTGAAAGCAGACCCAAGCTTCTAAAGAAGATACTGTCCTTCCCGATTTGTTTCTAACTATTTTTCTTGTTCTACTTCCAGTTACAGTGCCAGTTTTTCATTATTAACTTTAAGTTATGCACAAGCCTAGTAACAGTGAAGTCATGTCAGTAATTATTCTTCAGACTCAGGTCAGCCCTTATATTTCCAAAACTTTACCAGATTATGCAAACATTTTGAGTAGGAGAGCTCTTGTATTTTATAAATTTTAAGTTGCAGGCTGTAAATTTTATTCACCTAACTCAAGATTGCCAGATGTTCTGTAGGGATTAACTCTTCTGTGCTTATATCTTGTCAATTGGCATGGAAACACAACTTCTCATTGTGCATCCATATATTGCTAAACTCAGCTTTATGTCATGATAACAAATAAATCCTTCTTCCTTGTCTTTTAAAATGCAGCAGCTCAATAAGAAAATCTGACTTTAAATGACATTTCACTTTCACTAATACTCTGAGTTGTTCTGATAGATTTCAGACTCCTGCCAGTTACAAGAGAAAGTGTGATGTTCTGTGACTTCTGCCCAAGCTAATCAGCTGTCTTGTCTTAGATAAATTGGTTTTTCCGAAGACAGAATACATGATATAGTGTAAAAAATTCCATTTTGAAACAGCTCTGGAAAGTACATAGAAAGACATTTCTTGATCATGCTGCACTACGATCTCCATTCTGACATCTTTATTTTCTGATATGGCCATTGACCCCAGAGGACATGCTTCTGCAATGAAATGTGAGTTCAGGTAGACAGACTGGAGTACCAGGGGAGATGTAAGTCAGTCAGGCAGTATAATGTCTCTGAAATCCAAACCTGTCTTGTTGCAAGTCTAGCTCCTCAGGTTGAGTGAGATCACATTCAACTTTATTATATACTTCCCTCAAGTTCTGCACTTCGTCTAACATCAACAGACCCAGTCCTACCTCTCCAGCCTCTGTTGTGCAATGTTCTCAAAAAGAGGAAGAGTCACCAGGGAGCTATTACTAGCAAAGGTCAGAAACAATCTTTTGTGGAGAATAGTGAAGTACTCTTTGGGGTAGAGACTAACGCAGTCCCTGCTAGGTAGGGGACCTTGGGGACAATCTGGTGATGTTCGCAGGTACTGTGATGTTGTCCACAACTCTCTGAACTCAATCTCTTTAGAGGAAAGCATGATACTTGCCAATAGTGTGTGCCATAGTCAAGTCTATCTACTGAATTTATCTTTTTTGACCTTGTGCTTCTCATTACCTTTATTACTATATTACTGTAATCCTCTTGGGAGTTTGTGATAGACATAGAATCTTCAGGGGAAGAAGGACCATCAGGGTTCAACTCCTAGCTCCAAAAGAGGAAAGTCCAAAACCCTGTGGCTGAGAGTGCTGTCCAAACACTTCTTGAACTCTGGCAGCTCAGGGTTGTGCCCACTGCCCTGTGGAGCTGTGCCATGCCCACCACCCTCTGGCGCAGACCCTTTCCCTCACCCCAGCTGCCTTCCCCTGACGCAACTCCACCTGTTCCCTCGGGCCCTGTCGCTGTCACAGAGCAGAGCTCAGCGCTGCCCTCCACTCCCTGTGAGGAGCAGCAGCCACCATCAGGCTTCCCCTCAGCTCCTCTGCTCTGTGCTGAGCAAACCCATTCACCTTTCCGTGCAGACCCTTCTCCGCGTTCGCAGCCCTCCCTTGGGCACCCTCTGACAGCTCCGCGTCCTTCTCACATCGCCCGCCCGCACGCGGTGCTGGAGGTGAGGCCGCACAACGCAGAGCACAGTGGCACAACCCCTGCCCTCGCAGCGCTGGGCCCGATGCACCCCAGCCTGGATGGCCCTCTGGGCTCCAGGGCACGCCGCCGGCTCGCATTCACCTTGCTGCCACCAGACGCCCCAGATCATTTTCTGCACAGCTGCTCTTAGCCGCTCGTTCCCCAATCTGTACGTATGCACTGTGTCAGGTGCAGAATTCATCACTTCTTCTGTTAAACTTCTAACTGGTGATTGCCTGGAATTATGTTAATGTTTGTGCATAGTAGAAAAGCTTCTACATATCTTGAAAAGCTATGTGTCTGCAAAAGGTCCTAAATCATACCTCTAACCACTTTTTTTCCTGTCTATGCAAAGGTTCCCACTTGCATTCTTGAAATGTGAACAAGAAAGAGAAAATTTGTATGCAGTTCATTTTCCTTGTCTGGTGCTGTAAAGGAACAGATTTCTTATTTTCCATTTTAGTGTTTGAAAACAACTTTCTTGAAATTCTGGGAGTAAGAGAAGTAGTTTAATAAAAGGCATACCTTTACATATCAAAACACTATTCATTAAATTGGAAAGAAACAATAAATATATATACTTTAAATAAACTGGGATCATACAGTGCCAAGTTCTTAAGTTGCAAATTTTTGTCGAGTTCTATCTGGATGAAGCTTGCTGCACTCTGGATCTGATCCTTAGCAGCTTTAAGTCAGTCTGATTTCCATGAAGTCAGTGGCCTTTTATTTCAGCTGTGGTTCTCACCATGCATATCAATAAGGTGCTCAATAATACGGCTCTTATCGAGCCTCTTAAGGAGGCTGCCCTCTTTCAACTTTGCCTAGTAGCAGGATATTAAAAATAAGAGTCAGTCTTAGTATATAAGAAGCATTTTACAAGTTCCGTAAGGAAAGAATATGTTTTCATAGCCAATTGATTTTATGTAGATGAAAATATATTATTCTGCTTAGATATTCCGTGTAGACAAATGAAAAAGAGCAGTAGTTGTTCAGAAGCATGCTGCTAGGACAGAAGGGCCTGCTGCAGCCCTGCACGCCCACAACACAGAAAGTGAACTCCTTTCACATCCTTCAGAAACTTAAATGATTTGGGAATGGAGCACAGACTGGAAATAATTGCTAGTGTTTGTGTATGTGTATGCTAGAGAATGTGTATAGAACATATCCCATGCAGTTTTGCAGTTAGATATGCTCAGTAACTTGATGTAATTTTTGTGGCAAGATATGCCTTTGAGCAAAAGCAGAATCTAGTATTAAGGACTTGGGTGCTGAGCATACCAAGGATACTGATTGATAAGTTTATGCAGTTTTCTGAGTGACTGAAATCATTATTGAGCATGATGTTGAGTATGATTGAAGCCTGACTTACAAATAATTGCGCATAACCTTTTTCACTGCATTTGTGGTGCCCAGTAGAAGGTACAAACTGATCACAGCTAGTGACAGTTTCATCCAGAGATTTTCTTCTCTACTATTATGGATACCTATAGAGGAAGGGACTTGTAAACCATTATTAACCATAAGAAGATTTTACTCTTCTTAACAGAGTTGGACAAGTTATTACCATCAAAGCAAAGGTGAACAGAGCATTCAAAACCAGCATGGAGGTAAGAGCTTACCACTTGTATTTACCACATAATGATGCCTCAGGTACAGAGAAGAGAGATGGGAGGAGGGATACAAGAGCCTAGCCTTACTAGTTTCAGAAGGTGCTTTCTACAGATCTAAAAAAATCAGTGCTGCTTAATCAAACTCTAGTTTCATAATTACTACTGTAATTCCGTGTTGGCTGTTAAACAATCCATGTCAAAGTAGAAACTAAGCCCTGAAGACTTAGAATATTTGGCAGATATTATGGACAGGATGGTATAGATGGTGTTAGTCCAGTCCTAAGCTATTAGCCTCAAAGGGATCTGGGTCAAAGCCAGGGTCTACTGAATACGTGGAGTTGTAAATGTATTTGAAACTTGTTATATGGGAGTATTTTTCTCAGTGGAGTGCATGTTCTTTATATTGTAACAATGCATTGTCCAATCATTTGAAATGAGAATTCAGGGTAAGGGATACTTTTTTCTGACTTCTGCCCAAGTCCAGTTTTTCTTAATATCAATGGGAATTATGCATATTCTAGAAGAGTAATTTAAAACACAGTTTAAAAATAAAACATCAGAAAGTTTGATGCACATCAGGCCTTTTTCAGAGGTTCAAATGAATTTCTTCAAGTGTTCTGCATGTTTATAAAGATTTAATTTTTCATACATGTAGTAGATTTGAATGAGGACTCCAAACGATATACAGGTAATTAGATATCCATAAACTAAATGTCTGTCCTGCTTTTTGTTTTACCCTGTAACTTATAGGAAGCATCCATATACTAAAAACTTTTCAGGGGTCAGAGAATACTGATATTCTTAAATGTTCGGAGCTCTATCAGTGATAGCAGATCAGTCTTTTTACTTTCTTCCTTTAGGTTTAAGAGGCAGGATGTGATTAATTTGATACACAGTGTGTTGCTTTATCTCAATTCAACTGACAGTGGTGTAATTACTTCTTTTGTCCCCTTGTCTTACTACCTCCTTCCCTGTAGGTTGGCATCAACGTTACAGTGCAGGATGTTTTGACTAATGTTGAAAAAATTGTGAGTGTGGCATATGCAACATATGTAGTCAAGCCAGTTGGTCCTGAAAAGGTATTCTTTTTGTTTTGTTCTGTGGTTGAAGTTGGGACCAGGTTTCTCTGAGATATTCCAAATTTTATATTGTGAAATATGGGAAAACACAGATAAGAGCTTATTCTGTTTAATAGTAGAAAAGCAGCATAAAGTCTTGACAATAAAGAAAGTGCTTTTTCCACAACTACAACATCTAAAATTCTTAGCTTTTTATAATTTTTTCCACTTTTTGTTGCACATTTACTAGTAGTAGAACTGGTGCCATTATAAGGGCTCAGTGTTGACAGACGTATGCATGGAAGAAATATTCCTTTGAGTCTGCACCATCTCTCTCCTTTTCAGAAATTGATTTACATACATGAGAGGGATTGGGGGAGTTCATGTATTTTTTTTTTCTTTTTCATTCTTCACCTCTTTTGAAGAGATTGTTCAAAGTCACCACTATTCAGATAGAAGAAATTTTTTAAGCTGTCTTCCAGTGTAAATTAATTATTAAGCATTTATGTAAAATAGCATTCATGCCACTGTTGTTTATTCTCCTCAGTGTCTAGCCCCCTGGACATGTTCAGTAGTCAGTCATGGTGCTGTTCGGCCTGTTTCCCATTGCTGTGCTCAGCAGCCACTGTTCTTCTAATATTTTCCTGTGAGAGAGGCTGTATACTCATCAGATCTTCTTAATAAACTCTTTTGTATGTAGTCTTCTTTATAACACAAATTGCTAGAATCATATTTCTTTTCTGATTTTCTTGTCTCTTAATGCGTTATAAAAATGCATCTGCCTTTTTAAAATATTGACTGGAGATTGGTAGAGAGTAGTCACAGAATCATAGAATCACAGAATCACAGGATGACTTAGGTTGGAGGGATCTAAAGCCCACCCAGTTCCAACCACTGCCATTGGCATCTTTGCCACCCACCTGATCGCACAGGGCCCCAGCTATTTCTTTTCTTTTTTGCAACAATACATGACAGCTTGCTGAAGAAACAGTTCAGAGCACTTTTACCAAAACTAAAGCTCAGTTTACCTCTGAAAGATTGACAGCTAAATTGGTTAATCTGAGAGCACTAAAATGTTATGAAGTAAAGATTGTTTATTAAACATTTGATATCATAGCCATGGCATTAACCAATTTACCTTTTGCCCAAATTTCCAGGAGGGTTATTTCAGGATTAAGTTGGTGATGATTAACTATGACTAGGTTTAAGACAGGACTGCCAGAGAGAATTTAAGACTTCAGTTCTAATTCCATTGGAAACTAAGGTCTTGGGGAAATTAAAGAACATTCTTTTCAAACCCTTTTTTCCTGAGCAATTGTTGCCAAAGCTGTGCAGAGAGCAACAGCATACATTCACCATCTTTCAGCTGAGACATTTGGAAAAGGTGAGGAAGCTCTCAAGTAAGATCAGAGATGAGGCAAGAAAACTAAAAAAGCATTTTGAGTAAAGACTCTTAAGACTGAGAAATAATGGCAGCACTACCGTGTGATGCAGAATATTGGTATTGTCTGTGTTACAGAGCCTGTGCATTCTTTTTAGGTTTCTGGCGCCTGATATTGTAAATAAATCACACAAGTAATATATGTTAAGGTCTTTTTTTTTTTTTATGTATTTGTTTGTATGCTTGTTTATTTAAACTGCATGTGTTATCATAGATAAGTACATGTAAAAGCTAAAAGAATGTCATTGGGTTTTGACAAATGACTCTGAAAAGATAATGCAGTATCCCTTGAACTTTAGCTCTATTCTTGTTTGTATTAATCAGACGTGTCATCTTCGACAATTGATAACAAAAGATTATGTAAAATGCTGATGGTATTTTGAGTTCAAAGTGCACAGTATGATTGTAGAATCAAGAGCCTTTTTATTATTATTATTTTTTTTTAATTTGTATAGATTGCATTAGAACCTGTAAAGCTTCTGTCTGCAGAAGACCATCTGGAGCATGCCCTGGCTACTGAAAGGAAAAGAATCCGACTGGGCTATCAAGAGGTTTTTCAGAACCTAATGCAGGAGAGTAATAAAGAAGGTGACTACTGTGGTCAGTACAGAACGTGGAATAAATAACTAAAGAACTTATAGAGCAGTTCAGACATCTGAATATAGCTTCTTGAGGTGGTGGTGTCAGATTGTAAAGAGTGTGCCAGATTTGTGATGCTGTGTTGGATAGTTGCACTAATATAATAGTATTGCTTTCAGAAATTCCAGATTTAAAATGCAAAAGACCAAAGGCTAAGCACATGTTGAATGGGTGTGAAATGCAGATCTTCTTATAGATTATGTGTAAGGTTTAACAGTTTGTGCAGAACTTTGCAATACAGTAATAAGGTCCTATAGGAGTAGTTATAAGGTAATAAAAAGGATAAAGTCTATTCATGGCTATGACTGTGGAAGAAAGCACTGAGAACTGTGTTCCTGCTGAGAGATATTCCGAACATGCAGACATTTCTTCATTATGTGATTGTTAACAGGTTAAAAAAAATTAAACTCCTCAGGACCAAGCTAGAAAATTTCAGACAAGAAACAAGTTGATATTTATTTCTGGTAGAAATATCTTTTCTTAAAGGCAGCTGTACTCCAAAGTTGCTGTAAAAGGCCATGAAGTAAATTACTAACAAATTTTTAAGAAATCTGCTCATATTTTGAAATTCTAAACTGTAACTACATAAAAACAATGGTCAGCATGTATCTTTATCAAGTTATAGTCTTCATTTAATAAGATCGTGTAGAGACTAATACAGAAAAAAAAGTGTTTGTGTCTTGATAATTGCCTCATAGAAAATGACTCAATCCCATGAAAGACAGATCAGAGATGCTGTTTTTGCCTTGCCTTGCCTAGAAATTTCCTGGAAGGGCCTTATAATGGTAAGCACAAATTCACCTACTTCAGGAGGCAGAGTGAGTGTAACAGGAGAAAAAGAAGAAAATACTGCATTAGATGCTTCCATGTAGCATATTCAGAAAGTGACGTTTATTTTCTGAGTAGGTGTTGTGAAACAACTTAAGCAGTTCCAAAGTTCAGGTTAGTCAGATGTGTCCGTGCAGTTACATAATCATAAAGCCAGTTAATTAGGGCAAAATTCAAAAGTACAGTTCAGGTCAAGTAGCAAGTATTATGGATGTGCACTTAGTAAATTACTGACATCGTCTCATGCCTAAAAGCATTCTTTAAAAATGTAACTGAAAAAGCAAAGTGACTAGTCACTTGAAAGTGGAATTGGAAATGCTTGAGTAACAGAAGGTTGTTATTAATTCAGATAAGTATTTGTATTCTTATTTTATGGCTTCTATATTTCTAATAATGAAAAATTTGTAAGCAGCAGGTTATGAACTAATCATGCAATACTCCAACTTAATTAGACACATTTGCACAGATGCCTGTCATACATGGTGGTCAAAGTCTGTGGAAAGCATTTGAACAAGTAATAAATAGTTTTAACAATATCCATTAGAAGTTATGCATAGCAACCATGAATAATGCAAGCACAGACTCTGACAGTTGGCTGCATGTATTCTCAACTAACCAAGCCTCTCAGTTATTGCTTCTGATGCAGCATCTTCAGAGAAGATAGCCTGGGAAGGAAGGATTGCAGCATCATAGTCACATACCTAGGGCTGCACCATCCACCTCCTCTAGCTAGCATGGTAGAACAGAACAAATCATCACTGTCTTTCTGCCCTTGCAAAGAACAGAGGTTTTCACCTGTATTCCTTTTTCATTTTTCCTTTTGAGTGTATCTGAGGCAAATGGCACACTTCAGTAACTGGGAATATTTTCCTTTTGGCTATCAGAGGTAATAGCTGAAATAATTCGTGATACATTGCTGCTATATTTCAGAAATTTTTGAAGAGGAAGATGCGATTTCAGCTGACCTTACTCATGTACAAAGTATTGAGCTTGTCCAACCTCCTCATGCAAACCATCATGGAAACACTTTTGGTGGTCAGATCATGGCTTGGATGGAGACAGTGGCAAGCATTTCAGCAAGGTACTTTCTTCATCATAGTCTTTGTATATGTTTCTAAGTGGATGTATTCCTCCAATTTGATATTTAGGGTTTCAGTGGGATTTATTACGTGAAATAAGGAGATCCAAATCTTCTTGCCTTTTCTTCTTAAGATTGCAGGAGGTCTTTAAGCAGTTTATGTGGTACATTTACCACAGCATGCCACACTACTGTTGGAGTCACTCTGTTACACATGCAGGCCCGAAGGCGAAAGAGGCTGTATTTGCCTGAAACTCCCTGCAGAAAGTCAGCATTAGGAATAGGAATAGAATCCCACCCTCCTTTTGGTTGGTGCAGTGTTTTAAAAGCAGTGGCAGTCGTTAAGTCATAATAAAACTAATGCAGGCTCGTTATCAGTGGATAGCCAGAAATAGAGAGACTTCTTATGGTGGTCTTAAATGAGACTTAAATGGTGGTCTGCAAATCCTTATACCAGAGGAAGGAATAAGTCAGGGACGAAGAATCAGAAGAACCACGTTCTTTTTTATTGATGATGAATGATGAATGGATGTTTAACCTCCACAAGTCTCCTAGCCTTTCAGCCCCTTTGAGTCCCACATCCTGTGGGTTCTGATATTTTTAGTAGTGTAATTTGCTTTGACATGTTGAGATACTAAGTACAAAATATTTTTGTGACACTGTCTAGCTTTGCTTGTCATTATGGCCTGGGCATATTGTCATTAAATTCTTCTTGTCTGAATTTGAACTGTTTATCTTCCTCCTTGTTCTTGGACAATATACAGAGCTTCTTTGTAAGTAACACTTGAATTGCACTTTCTTCTTGCATACCAAGTGACCTATTTCACTGCAGGGATGTTAGATTTGCTTTTGTTTTTTAACTTTAATAATTAAATTACTTTCCCATTCATTATTCATGTGTTTCTGACTTGGAGACAGTAGTTGTTACTCTGAAAGTAATGTCTTGTATTTCTTTATGTTGGCCCATGTCACCAGAGACAGAGGTTGGTGGTATGGCAGTACATGTTGAATCTTCCTGTCAATACTGTTACATTTTGTTTCTGTGCGACAGGCAGGCAGCAGAGGAGCATCTGACATGGAAGTGCATATGAAGTAAAAGTGTATAAGTGAATTCCTCCATGTGGAAAAAAATGACTCCCACTGACATTTATTGACATTTTCTGAGCATTTATTGAAACCAGCCGGTGGATTTGAGCACAGTGTGGGGGGTGGGTGGTGCCTTTCAGCAGTGGTGACAGCAACGTGAAGGTCAGACCATGTACCAGATGCCTATGCAGATTGTTCTGAGTGCTGCATGCACTCACTGTTGAAAATGCATGTTGACTATGTTGAGAAATGGTGTTTTGTAACTGAGAATTTTCTCTATCAAGTAGTGTTGTTTTACTGTTTGTATCTGTTGTAGTTTCCCTGGAAATAAATAGGAGACACTACTTTTGGAGCAACCTACATGCTTTCCTTAGTTAGAACTGCTTGTTTTATTAACATGAGAATGCACTGACCTTACCTACTGTTGTGTAATTTCATTGGCTTCAAAGGCTTCAGATTTGTACCAGAATTTGACCCAAAATGCTTACTTGTTTTCATTTGGTAAGTTTGACCTACTGAGAATCATAAAGTGAAGGGAAACATCAGCAAAGCAAGTACTGAAAATATTTTCATTGGAATAATTAATGTCAAACATGCTTTGTCGTGTTGAAAATTTCAAGATTAATAACTGATGACAAAGGATGGTTGAAAACAGTGATACTGTAATTTCTGCTTGAGAAGCAGCTTGTTTTCCTATAAACCTTTTCTGAGGCCACTTGTAATTAGATGTGACCTTTGAAGGTGCCAGTTAGGAGTTGCTGTGGCCACAGATTTTGACAGAGAAATGGAGCAGGAGGACTAACACTTGAAAAAGTAAATGTGTAGGGACTTTTGAAAGGTTACTTACCTTCTCCTCCCTCTTTTTTGCCTGTATGATAGATGAAAATCTTACAGATAGTAGTAAAGCCATCCAAATACTAGTTTGAGCCAGATTAGTCACTTGTATGTCTTAAACTTCCAGAAGTATTCAGGCCATAGCTTTCCTGGAAAAACAGCATATTTAGGCTGAATTTCTGTTTATTACTATTTTTGTTATCTGTAATACTGTATTTGCAACCTTATTGTGAACTTTCTAAATGAGATAACTATTGAATGTTTTAAATCAGAAGTTCAAGTTATTCTTAATGAAATTACAAAGTCATTTGAATGTCCTAGCCTATTAAAAAGATGTACCAGTCAGTTAATTAGCAACAGATAATTGTGTGCGTTTAACCATACTGGAACATTAGCTTCTACAGTGTTAGCTTCCAGAGTGGAATTGAGTTAAAAGCTAGAAATGGTACAAAACTGTATTTTCAAGCATAAAAACTTCACAATGGAAATCTTGTCTCAGATGTGCATCTGCAGTTCTTAATTGAAAAGTTTTGCACACATACATGGGAATTGAGCAGAGTGTGAAAATGAGTGAAATTCATGTATAGTGTTCGTGTGCTACAAAATAATGTCTGCCAAGAGTGGGGTCTTTACTACACTTAGAACTGCTGAAGAAACCAAAACTTTGCCTATTCCAGAGCGCTTGCAAACTAGACTCTCCTTCCCCCACCTTCACCCTTAAATTTCACAAACTCTTAAACTCAGTAGGATCATGCAGCATTCCGGGTTGGAGGGGTCCTCAAAAGATCATCAGATCCTAGCTGTTATGGGAAAAGGTAGCTTAGATGAGGTTATCGAGTGCTGTGTCCAAATTACATCTTGAAAGCCTCTGGTGATGGAGGTCACCATATCCCTGAGGAAGTTGTTGCAGTGATTATTCTTGTTGCAAAAAAAATTGTTTATTTTATAAAGACAAAAACTCCCCCAGTACAACTTAGATCTGTTGCCCCTTGTCTTACCAGTATGGCTCCTTGTGAAGAGAACCTCTGTCACCTTGGTAGCTGTATTATAAGTGCTGGAATGCTGTGATGAGGTTCCCCTCTCAGCCTTCTGTAGGGTGATGAGATTTAATTTCTTCAGTCCTTTCTCACTGGATAGGTTCTCCAGTTCTTTGATCATCTTTGTGCTCCTCTTTTGGACCCTTTGCAATCCATCTGCGTCTTTTTTAGGCTGTGGAGACCAGAACTGGACATAGTACTCCAGCTGCGACCTCCATTATCCATACTGCAGACTTTTTTCTGACATGTCAGAGAAGTGTTAGGTTGTTGGAATTCCTTAGTGTGAATGACACAGTGTGGCAAAGCTATTCTAGCAGTGTAGTTTGGTTGGATAGGTATCTGTTCCACCCGTGCCCTTGTTCAAAGAGCAGCTGTGCTTATGCGCTCATGTAAACAGTACAGTCTTCAATACTAGAACAGAAAAATTCTACCATAAAACGTCACAGGCAGTTTGAAAAAAATGAACAAAACAACTCACCTTAACCTGACAGCATGTAGTTGAATACAGTGTGTATCAAGTCTGACATAAGAAAAGAGCTCTACAGAACTGGACACAGAAAAGAGAATCAATTTTTATTATTATTATTTAACTGAACAGTTTGGGGTTTCTGTACTGGTAAGGAATTGAACCAACATCTTGCTATCCCACTGTGTGTGCTAATTAAAACTATATATGTGCATTTCGTTTCATTAGTAGCTTTTTATTCTCATTTATATAAAATGAACAGAAGACATTTGACAAAAAAACAAACTGTATTGACAAGAGTAGGTCATCAGGTTTCTTTCATTGCCTAAAGGCTTTATGATTTAGCATTTTTGCATATTGAGCATCATCCTACTCCCCATGCAGTAATGCAGAAGTTAATGAAACTATTTGTGAGGTATGTGGTTGCTCTGAAGGCAAGGTATTCATGGTCTGGTACCAAAATAAAGTAATAAGAAACAGTGAGAATTAATTAGTGTTTGTAAAGTGTTGAAAATGAAACAGTGTGATAAAAGTAGTAGTATTATGTTTGAAGCTTGAATTAAATGCTGTTGGAGCTGAACACTTTAACTTATATTGGTGAGTTGTATTTTGGTGAGTTATGATGTATACTTTAATCGCTGCTGACTTCAGACTTAACAAAGGTGGTTCTTTAATGTGACTGGATAATTTGCTCTCTGCCTCTTTTTTTTCTTTTTCAGTCGCCTTTGTCGTTCATATCCCATCTTGAAATCTGTCAGTATGTTTAAGTTCTGGGGTCCATCTGTTGTGGGTGACCGCCTTGTCTTCAATGCAATTGTGAACAATACATTTCAAAATAGGTAAACCTCTTCATATACTTATTCCTTGAATTCTCCAGCACCTACCTAACTGCATGCTTCAGATTTTTATCTGGTAGTTGGTTTTGCCTTACTGAATGAAGTATTTTGCAAATGGAACTTAGAAAGATGTATCTATAAATATGTGCTTATGTTATGTGCATGTTCCACCCCAGCATACAGTTGGCCCTTTTGACTGCCAGGACACACTGCTGGCCCACATTTACTTTCCTGTCACCAGAGCCTCCAGATTCCTTTTTTCAGGCCTACTCTCATCCCTTTGTCTGTGCGTACAGGAAGGTAGCCTCTTCATGGTATGCTTCTGCTGAATGTAAAATAAATGCTGTCCTGCTAATTTTTGCTCAGTTTTCTCACTGGTGTTCATATTTTGCTATTTAGCTCAATTTATTCTCTTTTTACTCATTCTATTTGTCTAGTGTCACCTTTTATTTTTATTTTATTTTATTTTATTCTATTTTATTTTATTTTATTTTATTTTATTTTATTTTATTTTATTTTATTTTATTTTATTTTATTTTATTTTATTTTATTTTATATATCTGTGAAAAGCATCTGTCCATGCAGAATAACTTATTTGTTTCCTGCAGGAAGTATTTGAGTACAGCTTTGTGAACACAGGAAAGTGTTCAGCAGTCCTTCTTAGTATATCCTAGAGCTACTTTTGCATCTCTTGTGGTAGTTCAGTGATTAATTTGAGCTCTTATTTCAGTGTGGAGGTTGGTGTTCGCGTCGAGGCTTATAACTGTGAAGAATGGATCCAGAACCAAGCACGACATATTAACAGTGCATATCTCATTTTTAACTCCGTGAATGACAAAGGCGAGCAGCTCGCTTTCCCCAAAATCAAACCTATTACTAAGGTTAGCTGTTACCCTTATACTAGAATGAATGTATGCATGGAATTATGTGGTCCTGCTTAGCACTCTGCATGTCACACAATTGGCCGCTGTAGACTTGCTGGGAAAGGAAGGGCTAAATAAGGCTCTGGAATGCTTCTTCTTGCAGCATACAAAGCCTACAAATGAAGTGTTTACCTCTGATTGCAAAATTAATCGTTATTACTTTAGACATCCAAAACAGACGTGCATTGGAAGGTAGTTGTCATTAGAACTTCTGTAGTTAGGGAATGAAGAGAGAAGAAGTATCTGCTGTGCGTATTTTCCACTTTTCTGCTTTAGTCTCCAGTGACTGTATAAGATGCCCAGACAGCAAGAAACTTGTAAAGCTTAGAAATGTTAAATGAATTCTTATTTTTAGAAACTCTTAAGAAAGATGAGAAATAGAGTTAGTAGAAAAACCTTGGGAATCAAATCTCATGACACAGGCAAGCTTTCTAGTTCTTTTGGTGTGGAAACAGAAGCATGTGTTTCTTTGAGAGAGGTTCACTAGGCATTGAGAGCAGTACAAGCACTGTTCTTGAATTATTTGTTATCACCTGTCATTAACTAAATGCTCTAATTAATGAGATTTTTAGAAAGCGGTGTAGGCAGAAATGAAACTATTCTTAAACATCAAGGTATCCAGTGTATTAGGTGAAGTCATAAGGTTCACTCCTGCTTCACTCTTGGACTGTTTCCAGAGGAAAGACTGACTCGTACTCTTTTAAAAAATAGGGGCAAACAGCACCTTAACTTGTGCCAGTAGAACAGTGCTTCCCTAAAAGACCTGGCTTAGAGGGGGCATCCACAAATTGAACATCAAGATAAGAAGATCTATACCATTTCCCACACAGTCAAACAAGCAAGTCTAGGAAAAATGGAAAATACGCTCAAGGTTATTTAAACTTCAGTGGTTATTAGACTGAACATGGCAGATGAAATTATTAGTTTGTACATAAGAAAGGCTAAGATGCACTAATCCAGACATTCTGCTTACTCTAGTAAAAGATGCATGTCAGCTCTTTAAAGGAAACAAAAAGCTTTTTCCAGAGTATTAGTTCCTTCAGAGTGATAAGTCCTGTTGAGCAGTTTGGTTCAGTTTTTGCTCTTGGCTCACTTCTGTGCTTCAGAAAAAAAATACTCCTCGGCAGAGCAGTGGTAAGGGAAGGGAAAGACCTGCTGCCTTGAAAGGCAAGGCACGTCTGTGCCCTAGGTCAGTGTGCACTGAAACAGAAATTCTTCCATGTGTCTGGCATGCTTTGAACGCTAGATGGTGGTGAGTTGGATTGACTATTTTGTTAGGTGCCACATTTTAGAAGGAATAGAATGTATTGTGGTACACTGTGTGGCTGCCCTTGCATCAGGACCAAAATGCTAGGAGTATGCTGCTGTGATATGATTTTTTTAATTGGATTGATTTTGTAACTTACAGGAATGTTGTCAAGTCAAAAGTAAACCACCGAATCAGGTTAATCTGGGGAAAGTTCAACATCCATACGTTCCTCATAGTACAGTTCTTTATATAATAATAATGCGTTCATGGGTTTGTCCATCTGTTATATTTTTTAGTTAGTCTGTTTCTTTGTTTGTTTTGTATGCACATGTGTTCCTAAAAATAATCAGATGTGTCCTTGTCTGCTTGACTTTTTAAAGGACAGTGTGCGACGATACCATGGAGCTATTGCCCGAAAGAGAATTCGACTAGCCAGGTACAGTTGAACAACAGGGAAAATTTGGTTTTGGAAACTCATTTTCCATATGTCCACTAAAAAGCAGTAATTTGTAAAGAAGTCTTAAGTCTGTTCAAACATAACTGTTATGTTGCTTAACAGTCTAGACTGTTCTGCCTTAGTTGTATCAAATTATTAGGGGCTACTCATCCCATAAGTATTTTGTTCTTGGGGTTATTTTTGTCTCCCCCGTATTCTTTGGGGAAAAAAAAAGGAGTTACACAAACTTGTCCTGCAGTTGGCAATTGGTAAAATATTTGTAAAGCATTTGGAAGACACTTAACCCTATAGAACTGGTTGATATGGGCACATATATATATATATATGAAAAGTGTAAGTAACTGTTTCATTCTGCTTTTTTTCTTTTAACTTTGTTTTAGAAAATACATGTTGTCTGCTAAAGAAGACAAACCTTATGATCTGTGGGAGAAAAGCAACCAGGTGATCTTTAGATTGTGTTCTACCCTCTACCTGAATAAAATACTGTACACTTTTTGAGTGTGTAAAAGAGTTGTACAGACCCTGTCAGTTTCCACACTGTACCTGCTGTACCAAAGTATTGTGTTATTTGTGGAAGAATCAATAAGCCTGTGATAAAAAGAGCTTTCTTTTATTCTTAAAAGGTTCTTACGTCTTGATGTGAGTTTTGTACAGAACATAAAATGTGTCTCTAAGATTGAATCTTTTACCAGATAGTCCCTTAAGAAGCAGAGCTGGAATGAAGACAGGTCTCCTGAAGATTTATGTCCCACTGTGCCTCTCTTTTAAAAAGCTGTCAGAAGTTGTGGGGTTTTGTTGTGTCTAGTGAGCTGGGGGAAAGACCTGGCAATGCAAACAGACAGGTGAACAGTGAAATAAGGTAAACTTCACTTCTGTGGGAAATAAAGATGAAAATGTGTTCATTCCTAGATGCTCTGCCTAAAGTGGTGTTTTCTGACTTGGATATGCAAGGCCATAGAATCTGCCAGTGCCGTAAACTAAAAAGTGGTGAACCTGAGCTTAGGTGAATTTGAGCACAAACCCAAAATGTTGTTTCAACATGGAATTGTAGGTAAATTTTCATTGCATTTAAATTTTCAGTGGCTCCCAGAAATATTTTCAAGATCTTTTTCTATTACATCTCGAAGTAGATAAATAATTGAGAATTATAATCCGGGAGGTGATTTGCTATTAACAGTGGAATCTCTGTGTATGGAATCTTAATATTGCACAGCATTTGTTTTCTGCAAGACAATAAACATAACTATGCAGTCACTGCTAAAAATGAGATACTTAGATTTATTTGGTATTGAATTAAAACCTGTCATTAAAGACTCTGAAGCTCTGTTCTCATTTTACAGAGTTAAAAGAGAGCTCTATCCAGTGTAGTCATGCATAAATAATAGATACGTTTGCGCTTTCTCTGTTCTGAGCCTGCTTTGTAAAGCAACTGCCATGATAGACCACAGCTTGATAGCAATGAGGAGGTTAATTTTCCAGTAAATTTTAATTAGTTAGAAGAAAGATGGACAAAACCATTAATTTAGCAGTCTCAGAGGTTACCTATATTAATTTTTGGGTGGTCACAGTTTCACTGCAGTGATTTGTAATTGAAGAAGCCCAAAGTGGTATTTTATAGTTGTTAAGTTAGGGTTATTTTGCCATCAGCCATGTGAGCGCATATTCTCGCTACTGAAGATATTTAATTCAGAAACTGCTGGACTGTGTATTCCGGAAGGGAAACTATTATGGGAAAGTGTACATTTTTTTGCAGTTCAAGGGTAATGATGAAAAAAAAGATCATCTCATTTCTGGAATGTGTATTGTACCTTTACCATTCATTTGAATATATATATATAAGAAATGTATTTTAAATTTCAGGCATATATGAGTTACAGCAATATAGCTACACTGACATACCTGGCAGCAAAAACGGGATGGGAAGTAACCAGTACACTGAATAACGTAAGTACATGGTGCATTGGCTTGGCATTGTTTGATTTTACTTTGCCTAGGATTGAAAAACAAAAGTTCCAGAGGTACCCTAAAAGGCTGCAGAGCTATTTGTCCAGAGCACTGTTCAACCTGAAAGTGGCATGGAAGTCTCTTAGAGTGCATGACTAGTGAACTTGAGATCTCTACAGAGCAGGCTTACAGGACGTCATGATTGGGCTTGAGCAAGAGGAGAGTGTGAAAACACAACTGAAACTACATCTCTCTCTGAAGGGTTTTCTTTGGCACAAGTGAAGTACTTCTGTGATTTTGCCAGTCTTTGATTCTAGTAAAACACCAAGCTTGGACATCTATGTGTAGGCAGTGCTGTTGAGGATCTTTTGGGATTCTTACAAATAAAATTATCAGCAATATGTGTAGCAGTCTGTAATATGCTGCCTTCACCAGCTTTATAGCCTGGAAAATATTTCTTAGCAGCAGACATTATGTTGAGGTAGGTTTAATTGCCTATTGCCAGTTGGCAAGTGGCAGCAGTAGATTTACCATATTTTTCAATTTCTGTCTTTTCAGGAGATCATTTGATTCTTTCTATGTGCAGTTTTCCTGTCAGGTGTCTATTTTCCTACATTTTTCCTATTAAAGTTCTTTTCCTGCTGAAGTGTGCAGCAAATCACTTCTACTGCTAGGACTGATGTCATAAGCCAAAATTTCCTAGACATCTCATATGAACTGGTTTTAAGTTGAGATTAACTTGTTTGGAAAAACTGCAAGAAAACTTTGGAGAAAAATCTATTAAGGTTTGTTTTCTGAAATATGTTTAGTGAGTAGCAGATTATTTAAAGATCATGCAGACTCAGAGGTGTTCTTAGGCAAGAAGAGACTGTTACAAACTGTCTTGCCTCCTGGATGTCACAGTCAGCGAAACTTCAGTACTGATTTTTACATCTGGTGAATATACAGCTGATGTAAGAGTATGTGTGTAAATCAGAAGGTATTCAGTGGTGGCAAAACTGCTCGTTCTGTAGGCATGTTGTTCCAGTAGTTTAAAACCATCAGTAGATACACCGCACAGATGACAGCACTTGTGGTGGAGAAGCAGTCAGATTGAGACATTGGGCATTACTTTCAGAACTGCTAAGACTTTATTGTTATCCAGTTGAAAACTTCTTTCTGCTTCCACTGGAACTGCCACAATCTCAATTTCTTTCTTAATCCTAGATGCCTGAAATGTGTAATAGAACTAGCTGCAAATGATGAAATGACTTAATACAGAAAAAAAACATACGTTCCAGATGGCATTTTAAACATGATCTGATTTTAAACACGATCTGATTCCCCTCTGTCACCAAGCAACAGTACCTTCCAATACTAGTAATACTGATGCAGTTTGGAACTTTCTCACCATTTTGGATTTCTTTAAATAGTCCTGATGGTAAGATCTGCCTCCGAGACAGGTATTTTCTGACTGAAGATCTTGAGCAGTTTTTTCTTGCTGCTCATTCAACTGATTGCAGTGTGTATCTTAAAGCCAACAAAATCTTGGCTCAGGCAGCACGCTGATGCTGTCAGTGGACAGAGAGCAGCCATCCATTCCCATTCTCCTGGGCCATTCTGCATAATTTGGCATCGTCAGTGATTACATATTCCTTAGAGAAGTGGCAGGTATTCAGGGTAGCACAGTACCATTTTTTTCTGGGATGAATGTGTTAATCCTCCTGGTTGTAGGAGGATTTTGGTGCGCTTCCATTTTGGTGCGCTGTGTATTCCACGAGTCTTCTTTTTCATCTTACTTAACATGCACTTGCAGGCAGCAGTAAGCAGAGGGTATATTTGTCCCCATACGTACCTGTGGTTACCTCCAGGTTCAACCCATCAGGTGGATGAGATTTGCTCTTTAAAAAAGAAATGTGAGTGAAACCAGTCTTGAACATAACCTTTATAACTCCTTTGGTCATGTTCAGATGTGTGCTTGAGTTAAGTACACGCTGATACAGGTGCAGTCCTAGGAAAGGCTTTCTGCAACTTCAGGTAATGAAATGTTTTTGTCTTAGGAACTGTCGGTGTGGTCATTTGTTGCAGTTTCATGTTCATTTCTGTAAACACTGACACTGGGAATATCCCTTACGAAGCTGTATCTCAGAACTTTACATCATGTTTCCATAGAAATCAGGTGATACTGCTGATCAGTGCTGTACATGAAGACATTCATATTATGGGAAACAAGATTGTCAAAGACTGAACAGTGTTTTGAGTTGAAATATTGCTGTAGGCATATTCTGAAGCAGTGTGTCCATTTGTATTCTCATTTTTTCCTGGAGTGACCCCAGGTTGGATGAGTTGTTTTGAAAGTAGAAGGAGGTACTGTGAGCTCATGAACACAGAGCCACAAGACTTGTAGGCCTGTATAATAATGCTGTCCTTAGCAGTATTCACTTTACAGAGCGAGGTTTTAACAGCTGCTACTCGCACTTTATTTTGTGATTCTGAAGTCTTGAAGAGTGTATGACTTGTTTGCTGGCTTACATTTTGGGTTTGGTTTTTTTCCCTGTTCTAAAACGTGAAAATAGATGAACACACAGAGTCTGTTGCATGAATGCTTAGTAAACCCATGGACTTCTAATTTTTAGCTTGTCAAAAAGAGCAGCAGAGATGATGAAGCTTGAATTTTTTAGAAATGAAAATCTGTTAAAACTGTACAGGATTTGAAAAAGAAATTAACAGATCTAATATTAACAGATCTATTATTTCTCTCCTGCTCATTTTTTTCCATTTTACAGGATTTGTGGAACACCCAACCCATTCTTGGGCAAGAGTCGTGTGTACTTCTTTAATACAAGTTATTTCTTTTGAATCCTCCTTGACAGGGTTCAGACATACAGACCCAACATATCAGGACAATATTGTGCAAGCATAGGATAGTGCAGGCACAATCACATTTTGAGTAATGTTTTGGTGTACTGTGTGTGACTGATTTGTGTGGACAAAGGGAGCTGCAGTAGTTGAACTCTACTACCTACCTGTTCCAACATCTTCCTATCTGTTAAAGACAAGCTGCTGTACTTCATAGACTGAGGAGACGTCTCAGGGAAGTAGGAGATTCACATATTGTCTAAAACCATCTCTCTTAAAACACAGAGTCTGCTTTTCAAAAAATCTGCTTCCATTCGGATGTCTCTAGGTAAGGTCCCAAAGCTTCAGTGCCAAGGGTTGCTGGATGTGTTCCAAAATCCCAGAGGCAGTGACAGCAGTTGCTTGTTTTATTTTGTTTTGCTGAAACCTGTGTTGCCTCACGTGTAGTGCAAGGATGCCCAGTTCATGTACTGTGGCCTCACTCCAGCTTGCTTCTACTCACCAGTTTCCCATCCAGTGGATGCTACTCTGAAATCTGCAGTATCTGGAATTATCTCTACCTTGAAGCAGTTAAAACTGTGTGATGTCACTGTGCTGTCAGTGTATTCCACGTTACGTTGTGCTGTATTGTACGGTAAAATTAATCGTGTTTTTAATACAGTGTTAACTTTTTCAGATAAAAATATGGACCCGTGAGGATGGTGATGTCTTGTCATTCAAAGTAGAAATGCAAGTGAAGACAGCATCACATGTAGCTTTCTCCCTTTTGTCTGACTTCACATACTGCCAGCAATGGGACAAACATTTCTTGTAAGAACTTACCTTTATTTAAAACTGCTCAAATCCACTGACAACTAACCTTTTCCAAGGCACATATTTTTTGAGATGTTGACACTTTTCTACCTAATTAAGACTAAAGTGCTGTAGGAAGTTGTCATTAAAAATTCATTAGCCAAAATATGGATTGGCTTTTTCCCTTGAAAGCAAAATTTAATTTCTCCAAAACCTAGTTTAAAAATAAGTTTGCCCTGGCTCATCAGAAAAGCTGGGAGAGAGGTTACTTTTCACAAAAACGAACAAAATTCCGTGCCTAGATAATTGTATATTAGAAGGGTTAACAAGAAGGTTGTATATAACTGGATGTCCATATATGGCAGACACTGTGAGAAGTAAGCCAGAGCTGAAAACTCCATTGTGTTTGTCCTTTTTGGGATGATGATGCTTAGCTTCATCACACAAAGTGAGAATGCCAGAAATTAAGATCTTCAAAATGTGCATTTTAAGGAAAGTAATATCTTCCAAAATGTGCCTGAATGGGTTTCAAAATATCTGTAAAAGGTGTTTTCTTAATTTGCCTTATATTGTGTAGAATGATGACCAGAGGCAATTGAATTTATATGATACTAGTTTAAGTAAGTAAGTGTTTTCTTAAAGTAGAAGCTTTTTCAGTTAATTATTCTGCCTTGGAATACTTATATTACAGAGTGAAAATAAGTGAAAGTATAGGAATATTTAAAATTTGTCATTTTCTGCCTTAAATGGCTTGAAAAAATGAAATCTGAAGAAAATTGTTGCTTTTCCATATGTAGAGCCAGAATTTTGGATTTCTTACAGCTGTATTGAAGCCCAATTTACTAGTGAAAATGGAACCCCAACTTAGTGGCATTTATTGCTGAGGCAATAGAGGCTGAAGTGAAATCAGTTATTGCCAGGGCAAAGGAAAATTCTGGGGTTTCTTTTTTTGTACAGGAAACTTAGAGTTAGTCATCAGTACTTTCAAGAAAGAGTACGTCCTACTGGGTGGCCCTTTCTGAATGCAGCAGGACACACTTTGAATAAAATTTTGCTAATGTTTCCTAATTGTCACTCCTGTGATATGTCAAATGGACAATATTTGGTCAGTCAGCAAGTATAATGGCATGAAAGCTAATTTTATTCCAAATAGGAATTAGTATGCAAAATATGGGCTTTTAAGACCTTGCTCCAGCATTCCGCAGCACTTTTTCCAGTTTTGTGGACCAGAAATGTTGTGTCAGGTGAGGATTGCATTAGAACTTAGATATTTTGTCTCTGTATTCTTGTCACGTTTTCTGCATCAGCAGGAAAACTATACATTGAACTTTAGGCTGGAATACATGTTCAGTTACTTTTCATAAGAGCTGTTGCTGCATATGACAAGTACTACATGCGTGTACTAAATGCATTTGCAGAACTTGTGAAGTCCTACAGGCTGTGAGTGAAGAGGACAAAATATATTACGTTACCTCACCACCTCCACACATGAGTGGCCATCAGCCCAGGGACTTTGTGATTCTTGTGTCTCGAAGGCAACCTCTTGAGCCCAGGTGAGCACAGAACTTCAAGTTGAGCTGTGAGCTCTGGCCCCATAATTTGATTTGCTGCTGACCTCCACCAAGCCTGTTGTTCGATGGCAAAGATATTTAATTTCTTAAGATAAATCAGATGAGCGGCCGATTCAAAATATACATGGATACCTGAGACTGCACAGACAGATCTATTTTGCAAAGTGGACATACAATGAAGTGAGTTCAAAGCATCCCAGATTTCTAGCATATTCTAGCATTGCTTCTCTGATAATGACTGTTCAGGAGTGGTGTACCATGACAGAAAACAGGCCCGAGTTCCAAACGGCACCTTGGCAAAGCATGTTCAGATCCAGAAGTACATGATTGAGAGTTTGTTTTTTAAAAAATTACTTTGTAGTCTTATTTAATGTAGTTCTGGAAGAATTAGGGAAATGCTTGGACTTCACCAATACCTCAGTGTGATACATCTATTGTGTCAGAAAATGTTGCTGCTAAATGTTGTTAAAAGAAATCTGCTGATTTAACATAGATTGATTTTTCGTTAGATTTCCTTTCGTTATAATGAAATATGGATAAATGGGGCTGTTTAGTCTATTTTGTGTATGTTATTCCTTATTTTCACTATAATTTTTTATATTCTACAATTCTTCATGTTAATGGTACATCACTTCTATTCTGTACCTTGCTTGGATTCTTTTCCCCACATCTGGGAACCTGGATTTGGTTTGTCAGTGCTGGGACCATATCCATGTCTATCCATGAACTAAGGCCCTGATGCTGTAAACTTGGTTCATGAGGAGTTGGGGGAATTGGGGAAAAAAAAAAAACACCACAAAAAAAACCCCCACAAAGCCAGACAGAAAGGAAATGTGTTGTAGCGATCATTCTTTTACTTTTCACACAAGTCCTCATGATTTGAGTCAGTAACAAAGCATTTTCAAGATAAATGAGCTTTTTTTACATGTTTTAAGCATACAGGAGCATACTTGCCTTAATATAAAAATGACATCTAATAAAAAAATTTTGTCTGTAGTTGAGGTCCTTTACATGCATTCCTTTTAAATATATATATTTTTTAAAAAGTTATGTTTTTCTGCTTGCACTGCAGTGAACCATACATAGTAGCTGTGAAGTCAGTAACCCTGACATCTGTGCCACCTTCTTCTGAACACTGCAGAAGTGAAATCCTGTGTGCTGGATTCCAGATCTACAGTGACAGCAGCAGCTCCTGTAGGGTGAGTTGCTCTGAAGGCCTCATCTGTGCCTCCTTTCCTTTGGTGCTGCATGTGCATGTGATCTTATTTGAGCTGACAGTCTAGAACAGTAGTAACAATAAAGGAATCAGTTTATCCAGACATCTGTTAGGTTATCTTTATTCCACTGTGTGGAATTTGTTTTGCCCAAATTCAGCCAGGGTGGAAGTTAGGAATGAAGTCAAACTAAGCACTAAATAGAGACTGGCAGCTCTGGAGAATCATAGAATGGTTTGGGTTGGAAGGGACCTTTAAGATCATGTAGTTCCAACCCCCTGTTACAGGCAGGGACACCTCCCTCTAGACCAGGTTGCTCACAGCCCCTTCCAGCCTGGCCTTGAATGCTTCCAGGGAGGGGGCATCCACAGCCTCTCTGGGCAACTTGTTCCAGTGTCTCACCACCCTCACAGTAAATAATTTCTTCCTTATATCTAGCCTAAATCTCCCCTTTTCCAGTTTAAAGCCTTTTCCCCTTGTTCTGCCACTGTACAGTGTTACAAAAAGTCCCTCCCCAGCTTTCCTGTAGGCCCCTTCAGATAGTGGCAGGCTGCTATAAGGTTCCCCTAGAGCCTTTTCCTTTCCAGGCTAAAGAGCCCCAGCTCTCTCAGCCTGTCATTGTAGGGAAGGTGCTCCAGCCCTTTGATTATCTTTGTGGCCCTCCTCTGAACCCACCCAGCAGCTCCATGTCCTTCTTGTGTTTGGCCCCAGAAGTGGTAGCAGTACTCCAGGTCTCATGATAGCAGAGTAGAGGGGCAGAATCACCTCCTTTGACCTGCTAGCCACACTTCCCTTGATGGAACCCAGGATACTGTTGGCCTTCTGGGCTGCAAGAGCACACTGCCTGCTCATGCTGAGTCTTTCATCAACTGACATTCTCAAATCCTTCTGCTCAGGCTGCTCTCAAACCATTCTGGGCCCAGCCTGAATCTGTTCTGGGTAGTTCAATTAATCATAAAATAAGCTTCTAGAAGGGTGTGCATTCTCCTGATGTTTGATGGTGCTTGTCTGCCCTCACTGAGTACAGAGGATGCCCAGGGAATAAGTTCTCATTTAATGTTTACTTTCTCTGTCTGTAATTATGCAATCTGAACCTTGTCCCTGGACAAGCAACAATGTCTCTCTCCTCTGTTGTTTTCCAAGTTCCTAACTTTTTAATTTCAGAAAGTGTATTTCTGAAAACATTGAGTATCTCTCACTGGCTGAGATTCTCTTTTCAGGCAACGGTATTGTTTGTGAAACACATCTGTGGGAGGTGAACTAGATGATCCTCATTTGTCCTTTCTAATTCGGGGCACTCAGGGAATTCCATGATATATTTAACAGATTAGACAGTGTTTCCTGCTGAGCTCCTGTGTATATGTATGTATATTCTTTAGGACCTGGCATTCTGATTACTGTAAGACTATAGAGTCTTTTTGCTGAGCCTTGCTTTCACTTTCACAGTGCTTCTAGTGCTTATGTGCATCTGTTCTCACCCACAGAAACTTTGATTCTCAGCTAGTCTCTGAAATAAAAGGGCTAACTATTGCAGTCCAGGGTTCTTAATTTATATTGTTTTTATTTAAACAGGTGTACTACTTCAATCAAATGACATCAAGTCTTGTGCCTTACTTAGCTGCAGGTCTTACTGGCTCATTAAACACCATTGAAGACACAGCTTTGGAGTGTATTAAGTTCTTGGAGCTGAAGGGCAGCAAGTACTGAAGTTAACACAAATCTGTGAAAAGAGTGTGAGAAACTGTCAAGCAGTATTAATTTAAGTTTTTGCATATGTGTTAATTGTTCTACAAGTTACTTTGAGTCATGCAGCTGACAGTGGACTAGAGCTGGATTTTGTGTCAAATTAGGATTAGACTGCATGCTCTAAATTCAAGTTTTCTATTAAAAAAAAAAGATTAAGGCACAAAGGTTCAAGGAAAGGCTGGATGTTGTGTTGAGGGACATGGTTTAGTAGGAGCTATTGGGAATAGGTGAACGGTTGGACTGGGTGATCTTTTAGGTCTTTTCCAACCTTGGTGATTCTATGATTCTATGAAATTCTGCTCTTAAATCTTATTTCATTGTTGGATTGGGCCTGGTGACATCCAGTCACCAGTTACTAATTTTAAATTAGTAAATACTAATCAGTCTAATACGCAGAGGACTGGTACTACCAAGTAGCTTGTCCACTTCTCTGCTCAGTTTGCCCAACTCCTTGCATGTGCATTACATGTTCAGCTACTACGCCCTACAGCAAATGTTTGTCATCTGTTAATGCTTGTAGTTTGTCTGTGTGAAGAAATGTGAAGTTCCAAACCCACAGCCTCAGTGCCTTGTCCTCAAGTATCTCAAAAGCCAGTTCTGAGCTCAAGTTTGTTGTCTGGTGTTAGTTCTGCGTTCTCAGCAGGATTCTGCATGAACTAACTTTAATGATAACCAATTATTTAGAAGCAACACCTTCATTACCATTTAGCTTTCTGTCAAAGACAGTTGCTTATTAATACATAATGCAAGCTGAAATTTAAGAAGGCACATGTAAGGCCTTCAGAGCACTGCCTGCAATACAGCACTGAGAAGCCTGATGGCACAGGTGCTTGAGTCCACATCTGTACAGTGGAAGGAACCACAGCACAGAGATGCAGAACAGCACCTGCCAATGCTGTGCCCAGACCCCAGTTCAGAATGAAAGCAGCACGTGAGCGGAGCTTGGAATGTACTCCTCTACTTACACTGTGCTTGCCTGTTCAACTTAGATGACAGAATAAGATGCAAGTAAAACTCTGTCACTGTCAGCTGCACAGGAAGAAACTTGAGAACATATGGAGACCTACTGCAGGAACTCCATCTTTCATTGGCTTGAGGAAATTTTGAAATTTTGATTTCCAAGTGCAGGCTGCTTTCTCTATAATATATATATCTCCACTATGAAGTAAGTACATGTAACTAACAGAAGGGAAAGTTTACTTCCAATACCCCAAGGGACCAAAATACTAAAGATCAAGATTTTTGGGTGCTTTTCTTAAAAAGTAAACTACGCAAGCTCCCTTGCTCTCCAGCTACTGGCACAGGCTCTCCAGGGCAGGGGGCACAGCCCCAAGCTGCTAGAGCTCAAGGAGCATTTGGACAATGCTCTCATTGTCATGGGGTTTGGATTTTGAGAGGTCCTGTCTGGAGCCAAAGGTTGAACACACGATTCTAATGGCTCTCTTTTTCAAGTGAGTTTCATAACGCATATCTGAGAAAGAGCATGATTTGGCTTACTGGTGAAGTACTCAGGTAATTAAACATGCATAATCTATCAGATTATTGCACGTACACACTAACTGATCCATCATGTATAGCAGGAATTGTACCCCCAAGCTCTCCAGATAGAAAGCTCAAGTCACATAAGGTGTAGCTTTACCTGATAACTTAGCTGTCAGACAGCTCAAGTGTGCACATACACTGCACAAAATCATTCAAAGAAACAAAACCAATCTAGAATCCAATTGATATTTAGAAAATGCCTGCAACCCCTTTCAAAGAGAGGCTTAAGATCAGCATCATTGTATTCGTCTCCAATACAGCAACATCCTTAAGGTAATGCTACTGATCACCTAAATCGAATGGTCATAAAGCCCTGTGACAAAATGCATGTATCCCTATGCTTTCACTGCAACTACACTGCATGTTAGCAGAGGAAACCAACTTTCCTCTTTAGAGAATTAGCAGAAGAAATGCTTTCCTGCAAAAAAAATAAAAATAAAATAAAAAAATTAAAAAAAAAAAAAAAAATTATATAAATAAACACCTTGATGCATTTCTGTTGTTCCCAGATTTTCAGTCTGCTGGATGCGTCTGAATTGAACTGAAAAAAGCAGGGATACAGACCCAGCAGCAGCAGTGTGCTTGGTTTTCAGGAAGCAGCAATCCACTCTACGCAGTCACTTCACTGAAGTGAAGCAGTGCACAACCACTGCAGCTTAGCACCCAAAGGAGGCTTTCAAAAATTAATAACTTTCAGTACTTTCACTTTGGGTTTCTGTAGCTTAGTTGTTTCTGTTGTTTCTTCATCATCAGCACTCATTCCATTGGCCCATCGCCCAACTGTAACCTGGTCTGCAGAGTAAGAAACAAGAGTTTATGGAAAGACTAAACATTATCATCAGATTGAGCTTTCAGATTTGAGAAACATTTGGCCCATAAGGGCCTGCTTTTGGTTCAGCAAAGATCTCTCAATTTAGACATCTGAAACCAATTGCCTTCAACAAGTGTGTGTTTGTGTTTTGTACCCTAATCCCCCCCACCACAGATTTTAAATGTTCCAAAATCTTATGCATCCCTTCCTATTTGACTGTCCAAAAATTCAGAGGGTACACAAAATACATTAACTCTGAAGTCCTAATAACTCTTGTGTGAAGATTTCACAATGTGTCAGGCATCTCTGACTGTAAATGAAAGCATTCTTGAAGAGAGAAAAATCAAGAAAAAATTACATTTCTCAACTTACCTCCCTAAATGTAAACAAACACTTTTCCCCTCCCCCATTTTAAATATTATTTTGACCAGTTCTCTTTCATACTGTTCATTATACTGCCCAAAAGCAGAAAGAGTTGCAGGGATGTTTATTTTAACCTTGTCTACAAAATTACAGTGGCTCTACAAATCAGCACTTGCTAGCTCCTATTAACTGTCATACATATGTGCACACTATTCCAGACTGGACCAAGCAATTTAATGACTGCAGCCACTCATGTGAAGGAGCAACTTCTTACAGGTTGCCTTCCAGACTTCTTGCATAGTGGATCTTTGCTGGTCAGCACTACCCACTGCTCAGGAGCCTTTGGTGGAAAGAGATGGCTTGACTTTCAGCAGTGCTGTTTCCCACAAATATTTCTTTTCTCCTACAGCATCTGCACAGGATTTCCATTTACAAAAGGTATTAAGCATGCAAAAATATTTTGCTGCTAACAGAGTGTGCAGAAGCCCAGCAAGAGACACCACAGATTTGCAGCAGTTCTCTGACAGGCACCGTCCAAACCAATCTGCTGTGGCTGGTAGGTTTGGCAAAAACAAAACAAAAACAGAAAAAAAACCTAGGTTTCACATCAGAAACTTCTGAGAGCAGTAAAGACTCAACCTTATTCGTTCCAAACTAGCCAACCGGCACACATCTAAAATGGCACAGATGTGCTCTCAAACACAACACCTAGATTATACTGCATCTGTATGATCATTTAGAAAAAGCAGTTGAAGTACAGAACTCTGCTGCCTTTGTAAGTGTTTTTCACATCAATTCTTCAGAAACTTATGGCATATTGTTAACCCAAATGTTCTGCAAGTAGGAAAACCAACAAATGTTTCATCACTTCAGTAATGTGTCGTTCTCCAAACCTTGGACAGTTTTGCCTCTCTTAAATTATTTTTTTGGGGGGGTTTTTTGTTTTTGTTTTTTTAAAATAAAAGATACATAGAGTATCTTCTATACATATGAAACAGAAAGGAACAGATTTCTTCTGTCTAATGGTTTAAGAAAAATAAATGCCCTTAGATCATATCCTGGCACATAAATTGTATACCCCTATCATAATTAATATATTACAAAAATGCATTCTAATGTGTAACACATACTGACGAATTCAGTGCAAACCAATTTGCAAGGAGGTAAAAAGAAAGAACTATCAGTGAACAAGGGAAGCTGTTCACCCAAAATACTTTCTATCAATGGCCTTACCACAAGGGAGGGCTCGGTTAAACATCAAACATTTCATTAAAAGCCAGTCAGCTAAGCAGAATTGTAATCTACTTTTCTATCTGCACAGTTAGATGAAACCAGCGTATCAGCTGGCAAATCAAGCAGGACTGGCCCGCAGTCTCTTCTCACAGCCCTTTCTCAGATGACTTAAATGCCTGCCTGCAGATGGAGCTTAAAGCAACTGCCAGAACCACCACACTGCAATTGAAAAGACATTCAGCTTCTTCACACAATGTGCCTGCAAAATAAACCAATTCTGCATTTTTTCTATTACAGCTGCTAACAATGTGAACAGCAACATAAAGAGACATTTACTCATACAACCCTCAGAAGCATACAAGCTAGATTTTTTTAAATTGAAAGTTCCTTTTGCCTAGCAACTCACTGTCTCCTCTCAATAGCACACATTTTTAAGGGCAATGTGCCATCTTGTTACTAGAAAGCTCTCTACTCGCACTCTATGCCACCTCCTGCACCTCACCTAAGTTCTGGTTTTCCGGACAGTCTTTTCTGTAATGCTCGACAGAGCCACAAAGTCTGCAGCAGCCACCTGTTAAAAGATAGAGTTGGAAAATAAAACAATACAAACCCACTCTTCTGCTCTGGAAAATTTTTGTATTACACTTCTGTAGTGACAACCTGTAGAAAAGATGCATCTCCTCAGACAAGTCAATGCTCCTAAGCACTATTACATAACACCTTGCAGCAAATGAGCATACAGCTTTAGGAGCCAGCACACACACCTTCCTAGGACTCTGTATCTTACAGATAGCACCCACATGTAGTAGCAAGGCTCTGTCAATCACTGAGTTGTACGTAAATTGAAACACACATTGGCCACATACAAACAGATTATGGTTTTTTTGAAATACTCTTGAAACTGTCAAGTGTAAGTAAATTCTCATACTCTGAACTTCACCTCCTCTTTAATGCTAAGATCAAAATTGAAATAGGAATCTCCAGATAGTGAATACTAATGATGAATTCTGTCGATTTGATCTGTATTCACCAAGAATAAAAGACATCTGAAAGTTGCTCTTCTTAATCCAAAATGTTTCTTGGTTCTGTGTCACATAAGTAGGAAAAATATGTTTTATTTGCAACAGATCACCACACTCACCTTCGGCATACAATCCTTTGGGATTGTCAGGACATGACCTTGATAGATGTCCCATCTCACCACAGATGAAACATTTTGCATATGGAAACGCACCTGCAAAATTCCACAGATTACAAC